GGGGGGGAGGGGGGCGGTGAGTGGCATAGAAAGAACACAGGCTGCGGGGAGAAATCAGACCCAAGCTCTGCCATGTATCAGCTTCACACCTTGAGCAAGCCTTTCACCTCCCAGAGCCTGGATTTCCTGCTCTGCTGCAGGGGTCAGAAGTCTGTTACTTGTTCCCCATCTTCTGGTATCAGAACCAGTCTTTCTTATGGGGAACCATTCCAGCTCTGGTGCCATTCCACCCTCCGACCCTCAGACCCAACCAATCAGAGCACCTCATCGCTGGCTGCATGCCTGGCTCAGGGTTGGGCATGTGACCCAAGCTGGGCCTATAAGAAGTCCCCCAGGATTTCCATTGCAACAATGGGGAAGAGGCCCTCTTTGCCCCGGTGTTGCTGAGCTGGTAGAATGTACCCCTGCAGTTGCTGGTGGTTGTGTCTGCCACCCCTGCAGAAAGCTTGCCTGTGGATGAGGCCAGCACAGTGTGGAGAAATGGAGGGAGACAGAACTAGTTCTGCTAATACCTTTGAACGCCTAGATCCAGCCATGCCTGAAGCCAGATGTCCCTGAACTTGTCAATTATGTGGTTCAAGTCACCTTTGTTTTTCTTAAGCCGTTTTAAGGTAGAGTTCTGTTTCTTGAAACCAAGAGTCTGGTTAATACACCCGAAAAAATATGCCCATTAAAAAAATATGATACCTATCTCATAGCATTGTGTGGAAATTAGAAATAATACATGTTAAAGCAATTGGTGCAGTAAGTTCTTAGTAATGCTCAGTAAATGTTGAATGGATAAAAGGATGAATGCGGTCATGGGAACTTCAATGTTTTGCCACAGGTAAGCTTTAGATCAAGAGGTGACAAAGTGGCCCACCCAGACCTTCCTCTCTGGCCTGAGCAATTAAAAGAGACCTAAAGTCTCTTCCTGGGGAAGGTGGGGGGATGGAGAGGCGGCAGCGTGTTCTCACCGGAAAGCACAGAGGATGCTGAGGGCGGCCAGGAGCATCACCAGGGAGGAGCTGTAGCCCACGGTGTACATGACCTTCAGCTTCAGCAGGTACTCGTGCTGCAGAGAGAGAGGGGGGTGTCAGCCCCATCCACCTGGCTGGCTCTGCCTTTTCTGCCTCAGCCTGGACCTGCTTCAGGCTGCTCGAACCCCTTCGACTCTGACTGCTATTCTGTTCACACCCCAAAGACACCAATTCATAGACTCCTAGCATCTTTTTTTCTTTTTAAAGATTTAATTTTTTTCCTTTTTCTCCCAAAGCCCCCCCGGTACATAGTTGTGTATTTTTTAGTTGTGGGTCCTTCCAGTTGTGGCATGTGGGACGCTGCCTCAGCATGGCCTGATGAGTGGTGCCATGTCCGCACCCAGGATCCGAACTGGAGAAACCCTGGGCCACTGAAGCAGAGCGTGCGAACTTAACCACTCAGCCACTGGGCCAGCCCCGACTCCTAGCATCTTGACTTTGGAAAAGATCTTGTGGAGCCTCTGATGCCAATTCAAACTTCTATCCCATGTATAAGGCCCCTTCCCATCACCCTGAATTCAAGCCTTTGCTTGAATTCCTCCAGGGACAAGGTGCTCACTGCCTTTCGAGGAAGTCGTTCAGTATACAACAGTATACAACAGACAATTTTTTCTCATGTGAAGTTAAAATGTATTACTTTTAAATTGCACCTGTTGGTCCTTTTTCTGCTTCTGGAGCCACTTAAAATAAACTGAATTTGTCTTGTACTGAATGAAGGCCCACCAGTATTTTAAAAATAAAGTTTGCAGGAAGCCAGCCCCGTGCATAATGGTTAAGTTCAGTATGCTCTCCTTCAGTGTCCCAGGTTTGTGGGTTTGGATCCCAGGTGCAGACCCATTCCACTCAGCAGCCTTGCTGTGGTGGTGACCCACATACAAAACAGAGGAAGACTGGCACAGATGTCAGCTCAGGGCAAATCTTCCTCAGCAAAAAACTTAAACAAAAAACCTTTTCATCTTAGAATAGTTTTTCAGACTTATAGAAAAATTATAAAGGTCATACAGAGTGGCATGTCATTTCTTAATACAGCTATTCTGCCCGTCTGTCCCTCACTTATCGTCTCAGCATTAAATATTCCCTGTATCTTTAATCTCTTTCCCCAATCCTTCACCATTTTTTCAATTAATATACTCTAGTTTGTCAGTGTCCTTAAATAAGATACCCAGAACCAGATAGCTGAAAAGCTCCAGACATACTCTCTGACCAGGAGGAAGCAGAGTGGGACCATCACCTCCCCTAATCTATACACTGCACTCCTAGTAATGCAACCAAGCAGCATTTACTTATTCAGCAGCCACTTCACACTACTGGTTCATCTTTCATCCAAAAAGATCTCAATGGACTGGAATAATGGGCAAAAAATTAAATTGTGAGAGATAAATGTAAAAACCTGCATTTTTTAGGTTCAAAAAAATAAATTGTACAACAGCCTTAAGAAGGATCAAGGAAATGAAAATTAAAACAATAACGCTATACCATTTTTTACCAACCAAACGAACAAATATTTCAAAGTAATAATATTCTACATAGGTGAGGGTATAGTGGGAGTGAAGATTGGGTCAATCTCTCTGGAAAGCAGCAGGAATCAAGAACCTTTGAAATATGCATTCCTTTCGATCTCCCTTCTACCTCCAGAAATTAATTCTAAGAAATAGAAGCATAAAAACATATTTATTTATAAAGATGTTTATCACAGAACTATTTGTGAAAACACTCAAATCTCCAACGATAAAAGAAGAGTTAATGAAATTGTTTTAAACCCAAATTACTTTAATGTTATGACAGCGTTAAAATGCTGTTTACCAGGAGTTTTAAAAGACGTCAGGACGTGCTGAGAATGTAATGTTAGGTTACAAATTTCACGTGTACAGCATGATTCCCGCTACATGTAAAGAAAGTTTTAGGTTGAATTATATGAAATTGCCCTTTTGTAGATGAAGAATGATCAACTATTGGCCATTTCATGTGATTCAGTCTCAAATATGCAGAGAAATAAGTTTGTAAGATGTGCCAAATGTTCATAGTGGTAAACTTTGGGTGACAAGTTTGTGGATAGAGTTGTTACTTTCATTGGTATTTTTTCTACGCTTTTCATTTTTCTACAGTTGGTAAGTACTATTTTATAACCAGATGAAAAGGGTAATTAATAAAAAAAACAAAAACAAAAACAAGAAAACCAGTCATGAGAATAGTGTTGGGGAAACCTGGCTGACAGCCACTCAGATGAAAGTGACCTTGTGGAGCGAATGGCCCAGGCTCCGAGGCGGTGGTGGACTGGACTGCGGGAAAAGAACCTCGGCTCAGAGCCAAGAGACAGGGTTCCAGACTCAAGACTGTGCGACCTTGGGCAAATTACCTAACTTCTCTGAGCCTCAGATTCCTCATCTGCAAAATGGGGACACTATCTACCTTGCAGGCTTGTTGGAGGAACAAATAAGGCATCAGGGAGCATATCTAGACGACGCCAGGCACTCAGAAGACACTCAGTTCACCCCTAACCCCTCCAGGCATCAGCTAGAATCTTGCCATTTGCTGGATGGCCCCAGAGCTGGGGGCCAGCCTCCCTCCCAGGGATGCCTGGTTTGGCAGCCCTCAGTTCAGAAGCAGTTTGGGCCACCCTGTGGCAGCTTGAGGAGGCATGGTGACAAGTACTCAGGCTGAATATTCTATACCATCCTGTAGCTGGGGTCATTGTCTGCCAGGTGACCCTCAGGACTCCTGAGTCAGTTTTCACACAGATCCGATCCTGCCTGTGTCTTTAAGTTCTGACCCAGAAAGAGCCCTGCTCCCAGGAGGCCTGATGTGACCTCACTGCCACAGCTCCTGGCATCTGCAACTGTGTACTCCGCCCCAGACAACTTGGAGTCCAGATGCCTCACTGCCACCTGTCCTGGATCAAGTTGCCTGTCTCCCCGCTGTGTATCCACCTTCCTCTGTATCCTCTAGCTCAGGGCTCAGCAGACTTTTCCCGTAAAGGGACAGACAGTAAATATCTCAGGCTTTGGGTGCCATTCAGTCTCTTTTGCAGCTACTCAGCTCTGCCTTTGTAGTGCAAATGGCTGTGGCTGTGTTTCAATAAAACTTTATTTGCAAAAGCAAGTCGTGGGCCAGATTTGGCCCAAGGGCCATAATTTGCCAACCTCTGCTCTAGGTAAGCAAACGGCATTTTATTTAACCAAGAGGCAGGATTTCCCAGTCTTTCTGCTAATCTGAGTCCACTTTTGGAGTCTGTCAGTAATAGAGTAGTGTGTGCCAAGTAAGCAGCTGAAAAAAGGCACCCAATGAATGCACACATTCACCATCATTTGATTAAAAGAAAAAAAAGACATTTCAACAATAAGAAATAGGATGATTCGAATTTCAGGATAAAAGACAAAGTTTGTGCCAGCTTATGGACCAGCATTTTGGGACCAGTGAATCATATCTGGAAACCCTTCCAATCTTAGGGATTTTTATTTATTTTATTTTGTGTGTGTGTGAGCTGAAGCCAAGGTAAGTCTCCTTTCCACTATTTTTGGAAATTAATTTTCTGACTTAAGTCCAGAACGTTGCATTTATCTTTGTTAAATTTGTTCAATTTCAGCTCGTTGTTTTGGGATGTTACAGTTTCAACTCTGCCACGGAAGTCATAACTGCAGCCCCAGGGTCCGTTCCTTCCCAGCAGACTAGTCCAAGCCAATAGTTCTCTTGCGTGGTTTTGACAGACATAACTCACAGAAACGAAAGCTCTTGGGAGTCCTCAGTCCTTCATGAGAGTGTAAAAGGGTCCTATGGCCCAAAAGTCTGAGAATCACAGCCCTAAGCCAATCACGTCTCCCATCCCTCAGCCAGGGATGGTCCAGGGCTGGGCGGGCCAAGGAGATGTGAGGACAGGCCTGCTGCAGGTTTGGGTAAGAAGCTTTCTTGCTCCTAGGAAGGGGCCGTAGGAAGCCAGGCTGTCCCCTCTCCTGGAGAGGCAGGCCTGGGAAGTCTGTGGCTGCAGCTGACAATGGCGGTCGTCTTACAATGGGAGGGATGCCAGCCCTGGGAGGAAGCCACCAGGACAGCAGGAGAGAGACGGAAAGAGCCTGGTCCTTGGTGGCTTTGCAGAGCTGCTTCCTAAGTCCTAGCACCTTTCTCTGCATCCCCAGGTGCGTGAGCCACATTTGCTTACTAAGCCAGTTGGAAATGTCTGTTATTTGCAGCCCAAAGCATCCTTTTGAAACTCCATCCTGCCTCCCATTATAAGAATGTAAGAATGTTCCCTCTTAATTTTATGGATTTTACAAATTTGTTACACACAAGCCCCCTGTCTTCACATAAGTCAGTGACAGAAACGGTAATCTGCAGAAGTGAGAGCCCATGGGGACCCCCTGATCAAGCCTTGTTGGATCCCGTCATCTAATTACACCACTCTGGCCAGATCTGAAGACCTCATGTGTTTTCTCCAACTGGATGACAAGCCCTGGGAGGGAAGAAGCTCCATCTTCCATCTTGGTTCCCCAATCAATCTCCTTCACATAGAGAAAGACGGATTGGCTAGGGAGAGAGGAGTCTTAGAAGAAATTCGGAAGTGGCTGTGGTCTGCCTGCCAACTTCACCCTTTCTCCCTTAATTCTTCTGCTCCCCACTCCATGCTTCTGGAACATCCCACCTCACCCTCCAAGGGACAAGCAAACTTGTTCATTGTACTCCCACTGGGGATTGTAGCTCGTGGAACTGCTAAAGTGCGTCTCCCCGGGAACACACACCTTAATGAGGAGGAGCAGAAGACAGAGGAGGGAGCACTGGCTCTTTTTGGAATGAGACTTGGTTTGACTCCTGCCTCCGTGGCTGCCACTACTGTCTAAGCACACTCCTTATAGCCTCTGAGCCTCAGTTTTCCCGTCTGAAAAATGGAGAAAATAATGAGCTTACAATGAATCCTTCTGAGAACTTAAAGTAATTGTGGCGTAAGCAGCTGGCACGTGGTAGATGTTCGGTACGACAACAAACATTATTGGGCCCTTTGTAGGAGAATTGTGCCGGCACTGGGGGCCTGGAAGTGAATAAGACCCTTTCTGTTTGTCACTGCTGTATCCCCAGGCCTAGACTCCTGCCCAGCCCAGAGAAGGTGTTCAAGCAATGTTTGTTGAGTGAATGAATGCCTTTGAGGAGCTGATGCTTTAGGAGAGAGATGGGTGCCACGGCCCATGATCATGATTCGATATACTACAGTGGGCGGTAGCTGGAGGCCAACACAGAGCACTAAGAGAGCCCTTCCTGAGGGGAGGAGAAGGGAGGTTTTCTGGAGTTGATGACCTGGAATGGTGTCTTTTTTTTTTTTTTTTTGAGGAAGATTAGCCCTGACCTAACTACTGCCAGTCCTCCTTTTTTGCTGAGGAAGCCTGACCCTGAGCTAACATCCATGCCCATCTCCCTCTACTTTATATGTGGGACGCCTACCACAGCATGGCATGGCAAGTGGTGCCATGTCCTCACCCGGGATCTGAACCTGCGAACCCTGGGCCACTGAGAAGCAGAACGAGCAAATGTAACCACTGCGCCACCGGGCCGGCCCCTGGAGTGGGGTCTTGAAGGATGTGTACCAATCCATCAGGAAAGCGAGGAGGGAAGGGTGCTTTGACACCGAGGGCCTTCAGGGAGGGCCTGGAGAGGCCCATGAAGAAGTTCAACCCATAGCACCCAGCATCCCCTCTCAGACTAGGACCACCCCACGCCGGCTCTCTCCTTCCTGGCCGAGCTCCCGTCTCCTCTGAGAGCGACCATTCATTGAGCACTGACTCCGGCTAGACACCTTCTCAGCACTTCCATGTATTAACTCTTTCGGTTCTCCTGACAGGCCTGTGAGGTCAGAGCTATCATTAGTCCCATTTTCCCGATGAAGAAGCTGAGGCACAGAGAAGTCCTCCCCACCTCCACCCAGGTCACAGGTCTGGGTTCAGACTTGCCAGCCTGGCTCCGAGCATTTAGCCACCACGTTGCTTCTCTTCCGGTTTCATGACTAGATCACTCCAGCCTCATGGTGGCCCATGGCAGATCTCACGGTGCCACGGTCTTCACCGACCATGGTCTCGGGGTTGATAGACCAGGGCAGTGAAGCAGGCCCACTGGACCTCAGGCGACGAGCAGGGGAGGGGAGGGTGAGAGGGCAGGCCCCAGGTCACCTGACCCCTGCCCTGGGCCGGCTCCGCTCTGTCCTCTCCCAGGGACTCACCCCGTCCTCCGGGGAGAGAGGAGTTGACAGGCTTACCCGCTTCTCGTTGGACGAGTCGTTCACGTTGACCCCACAGGCCAGGTCAGCCCTGGGGAAGGTCTCCGACCAGCCGCCCTGTGTGCAGTTTCGAAATATGGAACCTGTGGGGGCCAAGCATTCCGTGTGTGAGCAGTGGGGAGCGGGGACAGACATCCAGCTCTCCTGGACACCCTCAGCCACGCCTTCGGGGCAGCCTGGAGCTGCTTTCTGTCGCTCTGTCCCCGGCCACCTTTCTCAGGCCACAGTCAGCTCCCAAGTGGCCCAGCTGGTCCTTGAAGAACATGTAAGAGTCAGTCAGGAAAGTGGTGGGAAAGGTATGTAGGCAGACGGTCCTAGGAGGGGGCGAAGACCCGGATGAGTGTGCCTGTGCGCGTGTGAGAGAGACAGACCTGCTGGTCCTCGCTCGAGACCTCCATCTACAAACAGGCCGGCCCTCAGCAGATTCCCCCTCCCACCCTCCAAACACTGCTTGTCTCCTCCTGGGGCCCCCACCGGCTTCGCCCACACCCCTACGTCCCACACCCCACACCCGCACACCCCCACATCCCACACCCCCACATCTCACACCTCCATACCCCACACCCACACCCCCACATCTCACACCCTCACATCCCACACACCCACATCTCACACCCCCACATCTCACACCCCCACACCCCTCACCCCCACATCGCACACCCCCACACACCCACACCCCCACATCCCACACCCCCACACCCCCACATCCCACACCCCCACACCCCCACATCTCACACCCTCACATCCCACACACCCACATCTCACACCCCCACATCTCACACCCCCACAACCCACACCCCCACATCTCACACCCCTACACCCCTCACCCCCACATCGCACACCCCCACATCTCACACCCCACACCCCAACATCCCACACCCCACACCCCACACCCCACATCTCACACCCTCACATCCCACATGCCCACATCTCACACCCTCACATCCCACACACCCACATCCACACCCCCACACCCCACACCCCACATCCCACCCCACCCCACACCCCCACACCCCACCACCCCACACCCCTCACCCCCACATCGCATACCCCCACATCTCACACCCCACACCCCTCACCCCCACATTGCACACCCCACATCACACACACCCCACACCCCCACATCTCACACCCTCACATCCCACACCCCAACATCCCACACCCCCACACCCCACACCCCCACATCTCACACCCTCACATCCCACACGCCCACATCCCACCCCATACACCCCCACCCCACCCCCCACACCCCACACCTCAACCCCATCACCCCCACATCACCCCACATCACACCCTCACATCCCACACGCCCACATCCCACACGCCCACATCCCACACACCCCACACCCCACACCCCACACCTCACACCCCCACATCTCACACCCTCACATCCCACACGCCCAATCCCACACCCTCACATCCCACAGCCCACATCCCACACCTTCACATCCCACACTCCCACATCTCACACCCCCCCACCCCCCCACCCCCACATCCCACACCCCCCACACCCCACATCTCATACTCCACATCCCACACGCCCACATCTCACACCCCACACCCCCACATCTCACACCCCACACCCCAACATCACACACCCACACACCCCACACCCACACTCCCACATCTCACACCCTCACATCCCACATGCCCACATCCCACACCCCCACATCCCACACCCCACACCCCACACGCTCACACCCCACACCCCTACATCCCACACCCACACCCCCACGTCTCACACCCTCACATCCCACACGTCCACGTCTCACACCCTCACATCCCACACGCCCACATCTCACACCCTCACATCCCACACCCACCCCACATCCCACACCCCCACACCCACCCCCACATCCCACACCCCCACACCTCACACCCCACACCTCACACCCCCACACCCCACACCCCCACACCCTACACCCCCACATCCCACACCCCCACATCTCACACCCCCACATCCCACACGCCCACATCTCATACCCCCACACCCCACAACCCCACACCTCACACCCCACACCCCACACCCCACACCCCCATATCCCACTGTGCCAGGCACCAGGGTTCCATAGACAAGGGACGCTAATTGGCATGCATCAGAGCACTCAATACTCCCAACAGCTCTTTTCAACCAGACTCCAGGCACCTGCAGAACCTCCAGGCCCTGCTCGCAGTCCCAGCTCGCTGCCCTCGGGGCCCCGCCCCATGCAGGGGTCTCTTAGACCCCTGTGCCTCGGCAGCCCACTTCACCCTGGGCCTGTCCACCCCTCGCCCTTCCCTCCCCAGGCTTCAGGCTCGGCTCCAATGTCACTCAGCTCTTCAGGAGGAATTTCCGCTACCCACCCTTCACCCCCACTGGCTGAGAGGCCACTTCTGGCTTTGTGAGGGTTTTCCCAAAGTGGGGGGCTGCTCCCCCTGCCACCTGGGTGCTCACTGCAGAATCATAATAAAACCTTCACACTAGTAGGATACTGTTACTTTTTCAAGGGATTATAGTGTCTCATATGATCAAAGAAGCCACATACAGTGCTTACGAACAGCAGTCCCCAGCGACTTTGATTACACACCCCCAACCAAAAAGTGTTGATCTCACACTCTAATGATTGTGTATGTACTCAGTTAGAAGCTTTTATGCTCTCCTGTAATAATACACGGTGATTACCATGTGCCTGGCATGGCGGTAAGCGTGTGACAGGTCTTAACTTCCTTTAATCCTAACAAGAGTGAGGCAGGTACTGCTACTTCTGTAGGAAAATCTACTGTAACCCTGGAAACACTCCAACTATTTTACAATTGGGGAAACTGAGGCACACGCCGTAGTAAATGGAGGAAATGGGATTTGAATGCCGAGGCTTGGGCCCTTACGCTCAGCCACACGCTATGTACTGATTCCCTCCCTTCGTCGTGCTGGTGCTTTTCCTGCTCCTGAGTCCGGCTGCCATTTAATGGGTGGGTCCCCCAGAGAATCTGGCATGGCTCTCAGGGACCTGTCCGTTCCCACATTGAGCTTTCCTCAGGCTCCTGGTACTATTTGTGCACCAAGGAAGTTCTATTTTATATCCAACTTCACGCCCTGCTCCCCGGCATCTGAAAATTATGGGAGGGGCACCGAGCTAAAGCTTCCGGGCAGTCAGCCCTCACGGGAGGGATGGGATGGAGTTACTAGTCCTTCAGGCATGACAACAAGGCCACTCTGCACTAAGAATCACGAGACAATGCGGTCCTCCCCCGTGGAGCTCACTGCCCGCACCTCCAGCACAGGGCTGCGTCCTGCGCCCCTCACGCAGTAGCCACGGCTCCCACGCCTCCTCTAGCAGAGGTTCCCCCCCCCCCCCACCCCGTGCCTGCCCAGAGCCTCGCTCATCAAACGTTTGCTGTTGCTGGCTGGCTAGAAAAGCAACGGAGTGGGGATGGGGAGCCGCTCGGAGCTCTTCTACGCGGGGAGAGGGGAGAGCTTGCCCACGAGGAGCCCTCCGCGCAGGAGCTGGAGGCTGGGACAGGAGCTGCCAGCCAAGAAGGAAGCTTGGAAAGCCACCAGGAGTTGTTTCCCTCCTTGGACTGAGTGGCCCAGCTGCATCCTCTCCTCGGGGCTGCCAAGGAGGGCCGCATTCTGGTCCCAGGCTAGCTCTGCAGGTGTTTCAGTGCCGCAGGCAGCTGACCACAGCCCTCCAGCAGGAGCCCCCAATCCTTTCTCTCTACCCTTACCCTGTCCAGGGACCCCCTAACCACCCCAGCTGGGCCCAGCATGCTCCTCTCCAACAGGCCCCAGGGTCTGGGCCACTGGCCCACAGGGTTTAGGGTCAAATATGACCGGCATGTCTACAACAGCTGCTATGCTAAGTGCTTTATGTACAGATTCCAATGTAATCCTCACAGTGCCCAGGGAAAGAGGTGCTGCTGGCCTGTTTTACTTACGAGAAAACCAAAGCCCAGAACTGGCAACAGTGCCCGGCCAGGACGCGTCCCATCACTGTACCACCCTCCTGCCCAGCCCTCTCCCTGTGGTCTGGGGGCGGCTTCCAGCACCCGGAGGCCCGGAGCACAGGTTTAGAGCCAGCCAGATCTGAGTCTGAAACCCAGCACTGCCTCTTGGTCGCCGTGTGACCTTAGGGGCATCACTTCTCTGTGCCAAGTGGGGATGATCCCCACGCTGCAGGACCGAGCAGGAAACATGACAGCACACGGACACAGCCCAGGCTGATGCCAGGCACAGAGCCGATGCCAGTGTCACTCCCTCTGCTGTTGGCCTTTCTAAAATAGACCAGGAGTGGTGGGGCTTGGGGCCTTGGAATTTTGGAGGGGGTGGAAGATTTCTGCAAATAAGTCAAGGGAGCTAGGCCGTCCGACAGGAAAGGATGGTGGTCAAATTTAGGCTGGTCGGATGGGAAGCTGAATTAAGAGCACAAACTCCCTGGAACCCAGAACTGGTTCTCAGCATGTGCCTAGAGGCTGGGCCGCCTCTTTAGGGCCATCTCCTCACTGACCCAGCGGGACGCTGCGTGTGATCCAGGCCAGCTGCCCAGAGCGGCTAACAAGGCAGCACCCCTTGCCCTTGGCTGACAGGGGCCCTTGGCAGAACTGCAGAGGAGACGAGGGTTGAACTCTCTCTGGAGTCCCTTCACCCCCACCCACTTCCCGTGGGTTTACTTCCTAACAGGTGTGGGGTCTTTACCCAGGTTCAGGTCACTATACGCCTCAAGGGCCCCTGACAGGACAGTCAGTATTTTGGCGCATTTACATACGTGCAGTTTGCGGAAGACCCAGGCCAAAGCTTTCACCCAATACTCAAAAGGCGCCAGACCCCTAACCAGGCTAGGGACCACTACTGCTTTAAGGCTCCACTCCCCACGAGGAGGGGAGGGAAAGGAGGCCAAGCCTGGCCCTGCCCAGGAAGTGTGTTTTTGAACGAGAAACTCTGGAAGACCAGAGACCTTTGAAGAATCAAAGGAATGCATCCTTGAGGGAACATTCTAGGCCCCGGCACATGCAAACAGAAATATCTGGGAGCAGAATCTGGCCTGCGGTTTCTCCAGTCACACAGACACCCACCCCGACTGGGTCCTGAAAAAGAATTCATTTATTATTTTCATCTTTCAAAAGGAAGGGTCCAGAACATCAGCTTGTCGTCACTGGGCTGTCCTCCTGGTGGGGGTGGGAGCCCTGGAATCCCGAGGGACACCACCGAGGGGAGCCTCCCTTCCTGAGAGGAGATGAAAGGGTGGGGTCTAATGAGACCCTCAAGGGGATGGATGGAGAGGGAAGGCAGTGGTGGGAGGATGGTTCTTGACTAACTGAGGCTGGACTGGTCCTGAGCCGCGCTTCTGGGCTGGCCAGTGCCCTGGGCCAGGGACTGGGTATGAGCCGAGCGGCCCCCCCTGGGTGAGAGGATCCCTCCATCGGAGGGCCTGTGCACAGCACCCAGCAGGCAGAGCCTCAGTGTAGAAGTGAGGAGGGCGGATCCTGCAGCCTCACAGCGACATCATGTGGCAGCAAGTAGAACTGCAGCAGAGATAGGTGTAGGACCCCAGCTTCCTTCCTTGCACCCCTGGGTGACCCCGGGTGGGTCTTGAGCAATTAAAGGGTTGGGGAGCATCAAGGAGACAGGGGGCTTTTCATTAAAGAGGCAGGCAGAGGTTCAAGAAATTGCCTGGAGAGGGATGTGGCTATGACCCGGGTTCTGCCCAGGCTCTCTGCAGAAAGGTAGGAGGAATGGTGATGGGGAACAGGGAGACAGAGGCAATGTGGCTCCGGGAAGGCTGCGGAGGGAGGGCTGGGAAAGGAGGAGAGCTCCAAGTCCCTCCAACAGGAGAACTCGGCCAGTCAGGGAGGAGCACTGGACGGGGAATAGCAGACCAGGATCTAGTCCTGGCCTTGCACCTGACCAGCATGTTACTCCAGGTCACCCACGTCTGAATTAATCTCCTGTGTCCTGAGCTCCATGGACCCCAGAGACAGACATGAAGTCTCATGCCAGGAGGTAAAGGCTATTGGTGAGTTTGCTGGCATGTGTGTGCATGTAGGGGGATGCTGGGGGAGGAAAGGGAGGACAAGAAGGGAGAAGACGGGGAGAGAAGGGACAAAGGGAGAGATCTAAAATGTATTTCCCAGCACAGCCTCGCAGAACCGGTATTATTTATTTTCCCCATTTCACAGGTGAGGAAATCGAGGCTCTGAGACAATGAGTACCTTGGGCCCTGAGGCAGAGACGGGCACCCACTGGACCACACTCCCCGTGTCCCTTGCAGTTAGGAGTCACCATATGACTGAGTGCTGGCAGAGGCAGCGTGGGCAGAAGTGGGATCCGTGTCAGGCCTGTTCCTTCAAACTCTCCCCGTGTGATCCTCGGAGTCTTTTCCTCCACCAGTGGTCTGAAAGCTGTGTGTTGAGCCCACAAGCAGAGAGGGGCTGGGCTATCAGGACCACGGTGTGGAGAAGAGCTTCCTGCGGATCAGGGGCACCTGTTTCGGACTTCAGGCGGGCGGGCCTGGTCAGAAGCTTTGAGTCTCAGCGGGTTCATCTGCATCAGCAGCTGGCGCTACCCCAGCAGTCAGTGGAGGAGTGGGATTCAGACCGGCCTCCCTGGTCCCCTCCAAGGCCTGCGTCATGGGGCATCAGGTGAGCTACAGCAGCGTGGTCCCCGAATCTCTGTGTGCGAGTACGCACACGTGTGTATGTGTGCCACGTGTACTAGAAAATCATGGTGTGAAGGATCTACACTCCTTGCCCACACTGCTTGGTCTTGGTTTCCGTGCTGGTCATCCTTTCCTTACCTGGCTTTGGAAGGCTGCTGGGGTTAGTGTTAAAGCATCTTCTTTGGTTTGTGCTTGTTAAGGGCCTCATCGGGCAGCCATTCCTGCCCCTCATGGATGAAGGGAGAGGGGCAGCAGGGCCAGGCCAGGCTTTAGACTTTAAATGAGGGCAAGGGCCAAAGGTCATGAAGCTACCTTGCCTCCACCCAGGGTCGCCCTCACCATGGGGCCATGGGCCCACCTTGACCATGGCCTAGAGGACAGAGCACCAGTTTGGAAGTCAGAGACATCTGGGTTTGAGTGCCAGTTTCTCCATCTCCTACCTGTGAACCTTAGGCACACTGCTAACCCCTTTTAGTCCCTGTTATTATTACTGGGTCAAGTGGGGAGAAAGGTCTGTGATTTGCAGGGGTTTTGTGAAGACTAATGAGTCCATGTACATAAAGATGCCTGGCACGTAACAGAGCCGCAGCCAGTGTGGTACCCTGTCTGAGATGACCTCCTCCTTCCCTGCCTGAAATTAAGAAAATCCTTATAAACAACTTTCCTCAGGCAGGAGATCCCCCATGGGGCCAGTGCCTTCCAGGGAGGGTGCAGTTTATCAGCAGAGCCTGACAGAATGGGCACAGAGGAAGTAAGTGTTCTGGAAGGCCAGGCTGTGCCAGGGCGGAACCCAGAAACAGGGCTTGGAACAAGGGCCCTGGTTGCTAAGGAGGCAGAAATGTGGAAGAAAGGAGGGGATCCCCTAAATGGGGGTGTGGGGCAGTGAGAAGCAAGCCCAGCCTCCTTTCTCAGTTCCCCAGGACACTGCTTCCTGCACCCTTGCTTGGGACCCTGAAAATTGAACCCACCGCACACTCTCCAAGCAAGGCTTCCAATCCCCAACAAGGACCCGTCTCCCCACCATTCCACTCACTACTTGTCCCCAGAGAAGTTTCCCAGGCGTCATGCCTCCAAGCTGAGGCCCCACCCAGGGAGCCACCCTACAGCTTCTCTGCGAGGACCCTTGGGCTGAGTGGTTACCGTTTCGGCTGGTAAGCATCTGGAGAAATCGTGGGCACTCCATTTCCACAGTCTGTCCCAGCGCAGAGGAGGGCCAGCAGCTCATGTTGTCCCACAGCCCCTCGCAGACTGCTAAGAAGGACAGCAGCATCAGACAGGAACGGAGTGTAGACCAGGGGCCGCCCCCACCACCCTGTCACCATCCCCAACGCCCTCGCCTGCCAGGAATTCCCATGAGGTACTGACTCCTTGAGATCAGGAACCAATGGTGTCTAATGTGCCTTTTCATCCTCAGGGCCTTGGCCCCTGCCATCGACATAGTAAGTGCTCAGTGTTGAAGACATAAAGGCAGGCAGGCAGGCGCACACAGCATCTCACATAAGCCTCAGGATGCAGGTGTGGATTTCTCTAGAGCCAAAGACGGCACATCTTGTGGCTCACCTTGCATTAAATGACTTAGTGGCGGTGGGCTTCTGTCCTGGCTGCACAGTATAACCCTCTGGGGAGCTTTAAAAACATACATAACTGGGCCCTGCACCCAGGGATCCTGATTGAATTGGTCTTGGGTGGGGCCTGATATTGTGTTAAAGCTTTCCAGGCAATTCTAACATGATGGCAGGGCTGAGGGCCCTCATCCCATGATTCTCAAACTTCAGCTTGCGTGAGGATCATTCAGAAGGCTTGCTACAACACAGAGACCCACTGCCAGAGTCTCATAGAGCCTGAGAGTGTGCATCTCAAACAGGGTGAGGCTGGGGCTGTGTGTCTGGGACCACACACAGAGAACCACTGCCCCGGCCAATGGAAGCGGCTACACCAGCGTCGCCACTGCATCTGTAGTAGGAATATTGTTGAGGATGTTGCTTTCCACGTCACGGGGTTCCCTTTATGAGGCCCCTCCCTGCAGGATAACCGGGTCCCAATGCAACGAGGAGCTGAACACATGGAAAACAGCTAGTGCATATCTATCCGTATAGACACTGAATCTTGAAGCTGTTTCAAGATTCTTGACGCTGGATTTGTGGCCTATTTCTGGAAACACTTTGAAATGAATCAAAAAGATTACTGGGTGTCTTCAACGCAAAATGAGGTCCTGCCTAAGCACAGCCTTCTGGTTTGTCTCATTCCGTGGGTCTCTGGCCTTTTATCATCTTTGAGCCATTTTGCAGCTCTACACCGTAGATAACTGATAGCGATGCAAATGATTCTTGTCCAAAGGCATGCAAATAGATTTTGTCCAATCGTATTTCATCTGGACAAAATTGTAATCGGCCCTATTTGTAAATTCATTTTAGCATTCTGCCTTGTATGTAAGGTGCTTTGAATTCTCCTATGAACTAGTGATAATATCTCAATGGTTCTCTCAGTAATTAAATAAAATATTTGGCAGGTATTCATTTTGTATTTGTACAATTTGCTTTTAAAAATTATTGCTTAACATAATCACCCACCAATTCTCTCAAAGTTGATCCCATTGCGGGAAACCCAGGGAAACTGCTCCTTGTGCCAGGCTTCTGGGGACCCATGCCAACTGGGAGGACATCACAAGGGGCAGGTGTGGAGGGGGCCGGAAGTAGAGCTGAGGTGACACCCATGAGGTGAGCAGTCACCCCCACTGAGTCTGGGGAGCACAGCACAGACCGCTCCACCCCAGAGCCCACGGGCCTTCAGAAAGAGCTGGGATTCCTGAGTCCCACTAACCTCAGTTCCAATCCTGCCTCACCACGCACTAGCTGCCCTTGCACATTCCCTCATCTTTTCTGGGGGAAACAGACGCCTTTCTCCTGAGGTTGCCGAGAGGGCGAGGTCAAACCCCAGGTCCAGCTGGCACTCAGAGGTGCTGGGGCAGGGCAGCTCCCTTCCCCACTGCCCCTCAGGCCCTTCCTGTGCTGTCTTGGCCCAGGAGGGTGGGCCAGGCGGCATCCTCTGAATTGCAGGGCAAGTTTTAGCTCCTGGGACTGGGAGACGGGTCTGAAGGGGTCATTGGATTGTCCAGAAGGCAAATTCCCAGCTTTTGTAAAGAGCAAGAGTCTCTTTTCAGGCACGAATACAAGCAGGTTCAAAGCATCAATATCCTCCTTAACACCTGTGTCCCCTTTATAAATGAAGTTCCCTGGTGACCTGTCCCACTTTAGAGGTTCTGGAGTACATCAGAATCACCTGGGAGCACGTGAACCATGCAGATCTCCAGGCCCCAAGAGATTCTAATTCAGTCATTCTGAGAGCAGGAATCTGCATTGTCATTACTCCCTAGTGGTGCCGCTGTACGTGGTCATTAGGTCTCGCTCTCAGACTCTCCACGCTGCACCTCCCTCCTGCCGGCACTGGAGGGCCCCTATTTCTGGGCTCAGACCTACCCTTGGCTCCCAGGAGAAAACCTGAGATGGTGAGATAGGCAGCCTCTCGAGGCCAGGGAAGGTCACTGCGGCCAGCACCTCTGCCTTGGTGCGTGGGTACAGACAGCTCCCCCACCCAGGGCAGAGAGCCCGCGAGAGCAGGAACCTGTCTGACTGCCCACTGCTGAAGGCCTGTGGCGAGATGGGCTGGGCATGGCGTAGGTACTCAACAAACGTGACAAACGAACAAACGAAGGGAGACGACAGAGCCTCTGGCTCCTGTACATTCCCTGCCAGGCATCCCTTGTACACAGGCTTTCACCTCGACACCCACTTGACTTGTAAATTCCACGTTAAGGTCCTGGCCTTCCAGCCCCCGCCTGGCGGCTCCGGTTGCGTGTGGCGGGAGTCGTCCTGTGCTTACACGCACAGCTCACTTAGTCTATAGCAGGGCTCCAGGGCACCTCTTTGACAAATGAAAGAATAAAGCAGTGAGGAGAAGTGAGTTCCTGGAGTCACGCAGCCAGGAAATGGAAGAGGAATGGAGGAGAGAGACCCTGGACACAGAGTGCAGGGTCTGGATGGGGCTCCCACAAGAGAGTGAAAGCATCTGTGGGACCAAGGACCAGGTGTCCGTGTCGTTCGAGGAACATGGGAAATGAGAAATACCCAGGGTATTCTGGAACCTTCACCCCACCTCTCACAGTGAGCCCCGGAAGAGGAGGGACTCGAGCTGCTCTCCATCTTGAGCTCCCCGCAGAGCACTGGGCAGGGTTCCACCACTGTCCAGGCGCTCCTCATCCAGATTCCAGCTGTGGACGCTGCCCACCAGGCCTGAGCAGGGTCTCCCGGAGCTCGCAGGCCCCCAGGTGACTCTGGCCTCCCCAGATGCCGTGGGATGATGCCGTGGTCCTGGGAGGGCCCTTACAGACAGCCCACCGTGCCTCTCCACTCAGAGCTGCTCCCGATCTGGGGTCTGGAGGATGAAGCTGACCCGGGGTCTCTTTCCTCTACAGAAGTCTCGGTGTAGCGGCAGGATGCCTCATTCACGGCACAGCCTCCTCGCCAGCTGGGCCGGCATCCCTTATTTCGGAAGCAGTGGGGGCACTTCCCCACCATGGAAAAACACAGGAGCCTCTTTTCTCACTTTGGGAGAAAGGATTCAGGGCTGCGCTGGCCAGGTCAGCCAGGGCGCTGGCTGATGTCACCAGCTCATGAGGCAGGATGACCCATGTCCGGCTGGCCAGACAGATGGGGAGGATGCCAGGGCGTCTGGCAGTCTTCCTGACCTGGGTCATGTCAGGCTGGGCCAACAGGGACGCTGGCCTGGTGCTGGCAGAAGGCAGGGTGGCAGTCGCTGGTGGTGAGGGGTGAGGGGGAGAGAGGAGCAGGCTCCCCTCACAGTAAGGGGGGTCCCCCTGCATGGGGTTCACTGCACACCCTTCATATCAGTCATGTAGAGAAAGGCTGGGGAAGGGGCCAGCCAGGCCCGTGCTGGACATGCATCAGACACTGTGTGCCCATAAGGGTCAGGTATGGTCAGTGCCCCACGGCAGGGATGAGGAACCAGGCTCCAAGAGGCAAAGTGACGTTTGCAGGGTGACAAGCTGATCCTGGTGGAGCTGAGATCCCACTAGCCTTCCCATTTCTCAGCCCAAGGAAGGGTCCCACCTGGCTGGCTGACCCCTGGTGGCTGCAGGCCTGGATGCTAACTCCACACGACATTGCTCAAGTCCTAAGCACTTGCGACACAGCCACCCGCTCCCAGCCTCGGCTTCACTGTCTGCACTGTTAGCTGGTCCACAGCACACGGCTCAGCTACAAGCATCTGGTCCTGACCCCAGCCTTCCCGGACCTCTTGCAGGGAGGGACACAGCACAGGACTCGGGTGGCTGTGGGATCCTGGTAGTTTTAGATCCAGAGCAGCAAAGCTCGCTGCCTGAGTTGGGGGTGAGGGGACTCCAAGGAACTAAGGGATCAAGGAGCTTTGTAAACAGGGCTACAGTTCCTGAGCCACTAGGGAGGCTCCCCGCCTCTGGAAAGGCGGGGCTGAGAGCAACACAAATTAGCTGCTGTGGGCGCATGCAGGGCCAGGGCACGGCGAGGGGCATGCCTCCTACCCTTCTGCCATCTCTGATCGTCCCCTGCCACCACTGACTGCTTGGCTGGGGAGGATGAGGTGGAAGGCTGGGTAAACAAGAAAAGACAACATCAGATCACAAATACCACCTGGGGGCACAGGGGGTGCCAAATACCCATGGCCCAAGAGGATAGCATGGGACACTGGGTTGAGGAGGTGGTGTGGTGGAGATAGACGGAGCTTTGGACCCAGATCTACCTTGGGCATGCCACTTACCTCCATGAGCCTCAGTTTCCTCATCCATAAAATGGGCGTAGTAACATCCCTCAGGTTTTTTGTGAGAATTAAATGATTTGTGTGTGCAGTGGAATATTTTCTGATCCATTAACCTTTGTTCTTTTTTTTCTTCTGGTATTTTTTTCCCTTTCTCTGTCCTTCCTCCTAAGATTACTGGTTCATGGTTTCAGAGGAGGCCAGGAAAACTTATCTTCCAGGTTTGGGTTTCCAAAGGCCCCTGGGGGGATGAAGAATAATTCTGGAGCAAACAAAATGCTTGGGAGAAAACAGAAAGGGAGCAAGACTTCCCTCAGACTGGGGAGACAGGAGGGGGAGTGATGAGCAGGATACAGGAGGTTCCAGAAAGAGGCACGAGGACCTGCCTCCCAGCCAGCCCGGATGGTGGGACAGCCCAGAGGAGAAAGGGTAGGGGGATGCGTCTAGATGGGCAGGACCACAGACAGCCTTGCAGAGCCCATGCCTCCTGGTGAAGCACAGAAGGGGCCATGGGGCCCGAGTCAGGCATCTCTCAGCCACCACTCTGTGGAACAAAGCTCAAGACCAGATGGGCTCCCCTGGGACACCATGGTGCTATGTGAATCTCTGAACCCCTGGGCAAGTTGCAGGGAAGATCCAGAAACTACCAAGGCTTAGGTTTCTGCCATCCTAGGAGAATGGAGTTACAGTTATTGAAAATGGAGAAAGTTCTATTTTTCCCTCTGGAGTTCGTGGACAAATAGTGGTCTCCTTTACACTTGTGAAGCCCCAGAGAGACAGTCTGTAACATCAGCTCCGTCTGCCCTGTCCAGCCGCCACATTACACCCCCCCCCCCCCACCACTCGTGGAGAACTGGCCCCAGAGGCAGATCTGGTGGTGGGGAGGGGGCCGGAATAGGGGAAAGGTGATCTGCGAGGCAGGACAGCACCTTGGGGATCTCTTAGATCCACGCCCCCAGCCCAGAGCCTGGTGTACAGCCTGCTAACCGCAAGTCTGCCCGGCGTTCACCCAGAGCAGAGCAGCCATCCCCCAGTCCTTGATTTATTTATAAATGAGCTCAGATGGCCTGACGATAACCTGAGACTATTTCGGGAGCAATGTGTCAGGCTGCAGTGACATGGGTGCAGGATCAAGCCAGGCCCCCGGGGCCATGCTGGACTGCGCAGTGGGTCCTCTGTCCCTCTACGCCCCCTGCTAATGCGGATTACCAGGGAATCCAAGCGCCTCGTATCTTGCCCTGACCTGTCCTCTTCTAGCCTCTGCTTTGGCTAGTGTTAACTCTTTCCTCCTGCCTGGGCTGCCATATCCATCCCCAGACGCCTCCATGAACCAGCTCACCTCCACTCACCCTTCCTCCTCTCCAAGTCCCACAGTAGCTCAGCAGGAGTTCCTGCACAGTAGCCGGCTTCCTGGCTTCATCACACCTCCCTCTGCCTTTCTCAGCTCACCCCGGCCCCATTCCTAGGCCATCCAAGTGGCAGCCTGGAGAGTTTCCTTGGTTTTGCTAATGACCTGACCTATAGCATTTAGGTCAAGGAAGTGATGATAGTGATGGCTGGACCATACACAGAGGTGATCAGGCTCAGGTTAAGGAACTGAAGTCCCAGGGTGGCAAAGTGTTTGAAAACAGCACAGGAGGAATGGCTGAAGAGTCTGGGCATGTTTCTCTTTGAACCAAG